CTGCCTCCTTAAAGGGCTAGTTCTACATCAACTTTCTGAAAGGTTTCCAGTATCAACAGCTCTACCGCCTTCCTCTATTAAGGCTGAAAGTTTAAACATGAAGGAACATTCTTGTTTTAATGACAAAAATCCATACTCATTATATCCTTCAAAAGGATGCTATGAGGTCATTTATGACTGTATGCATATAAATGTTTAAGTTCATTGGAGCACTGCACATCCAACAATAAAACATCAAAGTGTGAAAAGGCTCTTCCCACCCTGCGAAGAATTTGTGACACAGAACTGTTTGCTTCCAAATGTGAAATAGGATTCACACCCAGGATGTGTCATAATTTGCATGGATACTCCTATTAAAACTGGAGTTTCTTCTGTACACAGTGACAGAACATCTCAGGCATGTTGGTCAGAAATGAATCATAATTTAGACTGGTGGCAGCAGCAACCAGTTAGTTAGAGAAAATTAATCCAATTTTATTGATGACAATTCCTATTAACAATGCCTAATCTTCTCCATCTTCACATACGTAGTCCATAGTGTCTATTACATGACACACACATATCTGTGTCACACAGTAGCCCTGGATGGATGTTTTGGGTACACAGCACAACCAGCATTACCACCATCATCACACAACTATATGCATCCAAGTCCTTGAAAACTTTGGGACTAGAGAAGGATGGAGGGCAAAATGGAGAAAAAAGCATAGAAAGCTATAAATGAGCTTATGTATACATGTATGTTCTTAATCCGCACACTGTTCTGGAAATTTGGGGAGCTTTAAATCAACTTCAGTGTTCAGTACAGATATTCCCCACCAGGGAGATATCCCCTCCCTACCCTGTTCCAATCTACACATCTACACCAAATACAATCTACACGTCTACACCAAATACAATCTACACATCTACACCAAATACAATCTACACGTCTACACCAAAAACAATCTACACATCTACACCAAATACAATCTACACATCTACACCAAAAACAATCTACACGTCTACACCAAATACAATCTACACATCTACACCAAATACAAGTTACAGATTTCTGGAATAGCTTTGAGAAGACAAGAGCTGAAAGATGACTTGGAAACAGCCACTCTCTGTGGGTTTGATATCAGACTATAACAGCTTCAAGCAAAAAGATCTATGAAGAAAAAAAGCCTACTTGCATATTCAAATCTCTCATAAGGTTTGCCCCATTTCCCTCCATCTGCCCCAATGGGAGCAAGATATTTTTTCCTGGCATTATCATAGACAAGAAAAAACAGAATATGCTCTTCTCAAGGTTTTATCACCACTGGACAAAGGAAGGTATGAAAGAGGAGAGCTGGGACACATGACGTGGAGGATGAAATTCACATCCTGAGCCTCAAAGGCTTCCTCAATCCTCAAATCAACAAATATTCCTAGAGTGGGAGGCCAGTGAGGGGAGAGCCACTGTGACGGGCAGGGTTTACGTCTGGCCTGGGTGGCTAACTCTGATTAACAGAATATTAAATGAGTTGTACAATGATCTCATGTTCTTTATTGGGGTGCTAATAAATCCTGCAAGAAGTTCTCAATGCCACCCTTTAGTCCCTGGGAGTGAGCAGTTACAGCTGACCTGCCTCATCTGTCATTGGCCTTCTTACATCCTGGTGCTTTCAGCTCCTTCCTGGTTATGTACATTTTTTTAACCACATTTTCTTTCCATTCCAGCAGGTTTGTTTGTCTTGAACAGACATTCTTTTCCCCACATTTCTTCAGCTCCAGAGGCAACGCTGCCACAGGAATGAGGCCAGAGGAGGCCGCCTCTCATATTAACATTACACAAAGAAAAACACTACTTAAAATGTTAAGCCGTCTTTACTCAATGGTAAACGTTGGTTTGATAACTCAACCACAGCCATCAACATTTACAATCTCCCAACTGTCATGCGTTTCCTAGGCATAACTTAGAAGTTCAAGCTTTTTCACCTCTTAAAGTTTAATTGTTTATTTGACGAACAATCTTTTTTAACTGATTGGAGCATTTGCTAACTTCACAGCATCAGCCAACATCACTTGCATGTAGCGTTTGCAGATCTAACTTAAGCCAGAACCAAGTCAGTATTCAACTTGGCATCTAGTTCTATACATTATCCCAAACTTCTTTTCTTGAGGGGAGAACAGTGATCACTTTCCTTTCATCTCCATGGCTAGTGTAAGTATTTAAGCCTCCAGGATTTTCACAGCCAATATTTCACAAAGAAATAGCAAGTGTTTATCACTTAACTAGCTATAGACACTGGGTGATTTCACTGGGCTTCTTCCTAGCCGGTGATTTATTTCCACGTACCAGCCTCACAGAACTTACCTGAGAAAAACTCAAGACAGTATAGGTAATAGGATTTTTAACTAACTCATGGCCAAATAAAACACACGTATTAAACCCATGTATGTTCCTACTAGAGTTAACTGAGAAATGTTTCCAGGTCCTTGTATATGTGTTTCAACCTACAAAGGAATAGCTTTGTTGACTGTCTGCTTTTCCTATTAATTCTGGGTCTTTCCTTTAAACCCTTCTTCCTGGGGGTGGGTTTTCTGACAGTCCCTTTCTTTATACTTGCCCCCTTCCCTACCACCCACTCCCAAACTAGTCTTAAGTACAGTTGATATCATTTTCCTCTGAACATTATCCTATGACCACATCTCTTAGAGCAATATCCACATTTTACAACATATTCCATGTTATTTGTATGGTATCATATAATACAGCCTATTATATATATCTAATATCACATCCACACCCCACTGTCCTAGAAGACAGTGAGCCCCATAAGGACAGAAACCACGTGCTGTTACTTATCTTTCTAATCCAGTGCTTTTCACGGTGCCTGGGAATGTAAATAAATGTTACTGAATAAATAGAAGTTGAGTTTTCTCAAGGATAGTAGTAAAAATCCTTTTTTGTTTTTCTTGGATTACTTCTCTGAAGATAAAAGTGGTTTAAACTTACTAGCCAAATGGCGTGCGATGAATTACGTAGGAACAGGTTATCAAGACTCAAAATACTCCAAAAAGGAAAAGTGAAGGAAAGAAAATGCATTATGTACTCAGTGTTCCACATTTAGATGCTGAGAAATGAGCTGTGGAAATCGGATCGCATACCTGACAATGTTGTACTTTATCCATTAGCTGATGCTGCTCACTTGAGCATCTTGTATTGTCTACATGTAATGAAGTTTCCTCAGTACCACGTGCCCTGGACTGAGATAGAATATCAACTTCGTGCAGTCAAAAGGGGACCTAATTTCCCCCTTTCCTTTTATGTAATGGCCAAGAGTATTATTTACCCCTCAGCTTTCCAGGTTTGACAGGGAATAATGTGCTTTAGTGACTGCGAGAGACCAGGAGGGATGCCCCAGCTTTTAGACGGTATGTAAGCAAACGGCTGTTTCCCCTTTGCTCCGTTTCCCTCTCTGTGTGAAAAAGAAAAGCGTAATATTTAACAACATCACCAAGCTATTGTTAGGATTAATTAGATTTAATGGGGGAAGGGAGACAAGCTGATGAGGCACTATTCAAATTCAAAGAATCATTATTTTGTGTCTAAAAATAATCCTGATTTAGGAATAAAGTTAATTTGGAAGCTCAATCTTTGGTAATCATCTTCCACACTTAAAAAAAAAAAAGCCGTTGTTTTTAATCAAAGTCCCATTCTAAGCACAATTCAATGAAGGAAGAATGCAGACCTTCAAATTTCCATTCACCTTTAAAGACCGTACACAGTTCAATTCTTCTTTTCTTTTCTTCTTCTTTCCCCCCTCCTTTTTTTTTGGAGCTACACTATATACAGAAAGGTTAATGTTGTGAAATGGAGTATTATAAACAAATATGGATTTAAAATCTACATTGATTTCTTTTCTTTGTTTCATATGAAACATTTGTGAAACACTTTACATTCCCTCTTTAAAAAGTGAGTAATCAATGTTCTGGGGTAGAAATAACTCTTCTGGTCATTTCTGGTGCCAACTAAAAATTGGCACTTGCCATCTGCCTCTACAAGGATTAAATCATTAGCCACTGCAGCCACTGACATTTAATGTACCCTGAAAGGAGTCCAGGGTGGAGATCAGGAATGAAGTGCTCTGGGCTCTGGGGAAAACTGGTAGAACAGGCCCTCAGATGGTTAGATATTTTCAGGAGAAGACTGTATAAGCCCCAATTCTTGTATCTCATCATATCCAGAAAAGCACTAAAATCATTATTGGAGTCATATGCCCCTTGTGACTAGCAGCAACCTTCTGCAAAAATGTGTGCTTGATTGCATGCATCCCCTTTCATCAGAATCACTCAGACACTGACCTTCCTCCCTACCTCCTTGGAGCAGTTCCCCAGAGCTATCTGAAATGCTGTCTCCCGGCTATAGTCCTCACTCTGCCCCAAATAAAACTTAACTCACAATTCCATGTTGTGCATTTTTTTTTTCAGTTGACACTAGTAAGTTCCATCTCTATTTTTGTTCTCAGGAATTAGTCAGTGAAAGATCTTTGTATCCCTCAAATTAAAAAAAAAAAATCCTTGGATATTTGAGGCTAAAGTCAGGAAAAAGTCATCTAAATAGTAATCATCAAAATTAATAGAATAGATTAATTTACTATGAAAATCTTCATGAGAAGTAGAAGTTGGTACTTGAGAAAAATCTGAGTTGTTGCTTAAATCTCACTAAAAAACTAAGTCTTCAAAAAATGAGAAATATTCTTTAAAAATGTAACAGTTGATAATTCTGGGAAATATGCCATATCTGTTAGGAAAAAAAATTGTTACAGTTTTTGGTGAGTGAAGACTTTTGGCTGGAGAGGAATTCTGTTCGTGTTTATTTAGAACTTTCCAAAGGAAAGGGAGATGATGTAGGTCAGTCAGTAGAAATGTAGTCTCTATAGAGAAGCAGGAATAATTCTCTTTTACACAGCCCTATTACAATTTCCCACAAGACTTACAAATTCTCGTAAGTTAGACGGTACACTCACCAAGCAAACTTCTGATTATTCATTCGATTTCCCCGGACCCTCGACACTGGGGACGGATGTACCCTGTAGGTAGATGAGAGTAATCCAGTCATTAAAAAAGCATTTTCCTGATTACAAATGAACAAATACAAAAGGATCTGGCTTATAAATGACCTCTTTTAGATCTACTTAATGTAAAACACCCCAGAACTTGAACATCTCTTAATAAACGGATGCAGTTAAATTTCTATGCTGGCAGACCTGCAGTCTCTCTTTCCTCCTGAACCACTTTTAACATAACTAGCATGTGTCACAATGTTCAGTGTGACGACCCCCTCAAAGTAGGACCACCAGTTTTAACAAACTGATTCATTCATTCAGTCCAATAAAAAGTTACTGCCTTGCTGGGTTTAAGACTGCGTAAAAGTAATGTAGGGCTGGTGCTGGCCCTCAATGAGCCTTTCCTGGAACCTGCTCCCACAAGGAGGACACAGAGTGGCTAAGTACATGCTTGCTCAGTCAACTTCCAGATTCTGAACCCTAAGAAGCAAGGTCACGAAGGGGACCAGGGTCCCCTTAACATGCTACTTTGGCATAAGGATTATTTTGATCTGAAGGCCACTGAGAAAGAAGGAGCTCTCTACTTTTCCCTTACATGCCTAAAAGCAGGGCATACATTTCCCTCTTGCAAAGGAAATTTTCATGTGCTGATGCGTTCCCCCACCCCCAGGAAGAGGAGTACAACGTACAACTCTCACCATCGGAGGTAGAGGTGGTACTGAGATGAGTCGGCATAAACAGTCCTCATTACCATCAGTTTCCTCCATACATTTTGTAATCACCTTCCCAAAATTTACCTTCCCAGAAGTGCAGACCCCCTTTTCTTATTTCTAGTGACTTCTCCACAATTTATTACCCTTTGTTAAAATGGTCCATAAGCTCCAAATTCTAACCACCCCTTGAGTTACTCATCCCTGAGTATTCCTGCATGCATGCATGCATGTTTTATGTGTAAATCAACCCTCCCCCCTGCCTTGCTAATCCAGCTATTGTCAATTTAATTTGCAGGCCCTCAGACACTAAACCTAAGAGGATAGAGGAAAAAATGCTTTTCCCCTCCTCTACAATAACTTCTTCCAAATGTCCAGGCACAGAATCTGTGGGAATAGGGGCAGAAGGACAGATGAATAGTTATTTCCAGGGGAAAGGCCTTCTGGATGTGATGCTTTCCCGTCGAGCTTTAAGAAAGACAAAGTCAATTCAAAACTTTAGCTACATAATAGGGAAAAGACAGTAACGAACATATTGTTTTATAAGCTTCCAGGGTTGGAGTCACCCACTGGAAATAGCTGAGATTTCTAGGAACCGCTAATATCTTCCAATCAGGAGCGAGCTGCTGGACGTCCGGCTCTTTGTGGGTCATTTCCTGGCAACACCACACGCTCTGCTCCCTCTCCTTGTGGCCAACATCCTGTTTTTTTCTTCCTGTATTAGGGGCTGTGAGGCCTAGGCAATCTTCAAGCTTGTGTTATCTTTACTCTTTATGTCTCAGACACTGTTCTAATTTACAAGACAGGAGAGAAAACAGGGATTTTAAATTGGTCTTGAAATCCAGTTAGAACCAATAACCCAAGGTTCACTAGAACAGTCTCAGCTCTCCATAGCTGTCCAGAGAGTAAAAATCATTTCAAAGCAGATGATACAGGTCTAGCCCCTCGGAAGGGCCAACTGCAGTCTTTCCGCACATCCAGAACCAGACTGCACTTTGCTCTCGGAAGGCTTATTTCTTCCAACATCCCTTATTAACATTCTTTTCCTCACAGCTCTTCTCAAAGGCTGCTGCAGCTGAGCTGCTCGGCACAGATTTTCTGCTCCACATGGAGGAGGGGATGTTAATTATGCAGAAAGATGGAGAGAGGCCAGACAGCCCCTCTGGTGAACTGTCTCATTCAAGCACGGCCCACTTCCTGCTGTTTTGCAGCTACAAGGATCACCTGTTGGTCTTGGCACCCAGCCAAACTGGGGCCTAGCGGAAATGAGACTCAGCTAGAAATGAAAGCCGGCTCATATTCCACCACCCCAAACTGGGGAGAGGGAGAAAAAAAAAATACGCCATAAAAATGTATAAGAATTTATACACAAGGTAGCAAGATTCATTTTTTTTCTTCTCTTCTTTCTTTTTTCTTTCAGTCTGTCTGCTTGAAATACAATCATCAAAATGGAACTGTGAGCCAAAAAAATGTCTCCGGAGTTCAGGGCCCCTGACCTAAGGGAAAATACAGGAAATCCTCTTGAACTTCCCTACACCCCCACCCCCCCTGCCCAGGGTGTCAGAATCCTACAGCCTAAAAAACTTTTTAAGGAGTAATAGCTCAAACACTCATAGTTCTTTAACTCAGTCTGCATCCTTTAAAAGTTCACTTCTTTTATTGTTTCCTCCTTAGCCCTATTTCTAGCCATCATTTTAATTCCGCCAAATGAAGTCTGATGACTCAGGAGTATTTTCTTATTGACATTTCTCATTGCATATATCAGTGGAAGAAATGGGTCCATTTAACCTATAATTATTATATTCTCTAGGTATTTCTATCTTTCATCAAAATTTCATTGATCCATAGATCAAATACTATAAATAATTTCTGTAATGGTTTAAGAGTCTTCAAAGAACTCCTGATTGTGTGTATGTGACCAAATAATTATAAGGCTGCTTAAATTGAAACAAGAAAGCTTTTTTCCCCTTCCCAAAGTGAGTAAATTGATAACCTGGACTTAACTTCATCTGATAATGTAGACCCATAAAGGTCTGCATTTCAGCTACCCCTGCAAATGTTATTTCTTCAAAAGGAGATGCAGTGTTTCCATCAGCTCCATGTTTAAATGGTAACACTTTTTACCATCGCCTACCTTCTTTCCACATAGAGCAGCCAGGCAGGTAGCAAAGTCAAAACCCCAGTAGGAGAAACCACTGTCTAATCTGCATGTCATGCATTATTCATGACCTCCTGATTCCTGCACCTGCATCTAGGCAGGAAGCTTGCAGGGAACGTTCATTATTCTTCTCTTAGCCTCACACGGGCTCCATTACTGCTAAGCCACTTTGTTCTGTAACTAAGGGTTTCAGGCCTTAGTACTAACCGCTGGATGCTAAAAGAGAAAAAAAAATCACCATCCTGAAGAAAAAGGGCGATCTCGGTTGTTTCGTAACATGAACTGAATCCTACAATGTGCGCTTCTGAGACTGACAGTTTATGTCAGATGGAAATGCTCGCGTTTGGTGATTACATTGCATAGAAAAAAGGAAGCTATAACATTAAAGCCATTCACACCAACTGTCCTATTTATATACACTTACTCATCTGAGGCAGACAGCATGTTTATAATTTTACCGAACACAGCGTTTAATTTAGCTTTCCTGCTAAGCACGTGAGAACATTTTAGGCACAGTAATACAAAAGTGACTCTTCCTTCTTTGGGTATAAACACTAAGGGACCTGACCCTCAAATCTTGTATTTTAATGACTAATATTTATAACCAAGAGAATAGATCACTTTGTTTTTCAATGTTTTCTGGAACCCGCCTGAATGGCTGGTGCCTGGAGGCGAAATGTGATACCCAACACAAATTACTGATCACCGATGGACCGCTGGGAAGGGCATTTCCCTACCTTTTCATTCTCCCCACCACTGAAAAGTTGTGACAATTTAAATCCAATCTGATAGCCCCCAGTGGAGTCAGGACGAAGTGGTGAGGAGGACCAATGGTGTCACTGCCTGGGACTGAACTCGAGCACCATCATTTCCCGACAGTGTCATCTTAGAGCAAGTTACTTAACCCGTCTGGGCTTCCGTTTTCTCATCTGCACAAGGGAGGCAATAATAGTGGCCACCTCCTAGGTCTGTGACCTTTAAATGAGTTAATAGTTTTAAAGTGTTTACAACAGTGCTTGGTACCCAGGAAGCAGTTAATACATGCTAGCTTTTATCATCAGAAGTGCCGATTGGACTGGAAAGAACAAGAAGATGGAACTGGCATATCCAGCTAATTCCTGAGGACTGAGATAACCAATGTTACCTACAGAGCCTGCATTCTTAATTACTGTGCTAATATGACTTCTCTAAAGGCCAGGAAATGGCAAAGAAAAATAAACACTTATAGAGGAACATGAACCAAATACTGTGGTTTCTGAGGTACGGCTTCCTCTCTGGCAAATCATTTTTTATGTTCTTTATTAGAAGACTTATCTTCTGTTTACTAAATTGGATAGTATTTCATTTATGTCCCATTCAAGAACAAGTCACTAATTACAGCAATGTGAAGTCATTCCCATTTATTAAGCCCTTTCTAGGTGCCAGACACCATGCTAAGGGCTTTAGCCACATTGTCTTATTTTCCCCTCAAAACATTAGTATTTTCCCTTTGAGAAAATAGGTTTAGAAGAGTTAGGTAATTAGCCAGAGTGACACAGTGAACAGCAAAATCAGAACCTGGACACAGGTACGTCTGACCCATCTTCCTCCAGATTATCATCCAGTACTTATGAACTCGTATGTTTTCCCTCCATGCCACCCCAAAGGATGCGATCAACTGAATTATCACCAAGGACTTTAATGAGAGACCGAGCATTTATTTAAGCCCAACTGAATATCCTATAGTACAAACAGATGCAAAGTGAATATATCGGTTCTCCTGGCCTAAAATTGGCACCGAGCTAAAGATTAAGCCTTCAGGGACTCACAAGAAGTAGAGTCACAGTAAGGTACTTTGTTCTCCCTTTAACTCTTTATGAAAATTCCTTGCTACTAGTGTTGCTATTTAAATACATAATGTACAACACATGTAAGTTTTAGATGGTAAATTGAATCTGCTTTCTCACTTCCCATCTTTTCTAGCACCCAGTCCTATCCAGTTTGGGTCCACATCTACCTGATGAAATCATCTCTGTTATGGTCATCAATAGTCTCCATGTTTTCAAATCTAATGGTTAAGGCTCAGCCCTTATCTTCTCCAGTCCTCCGCGGGGACTCACGTAACTGATCACTCCATCCTCGAAAAGCTTTCTCTACTCAGCATTGGTGATATTTTC